CTTGCAATATTTGTCATTTTTTCACCTTTGGTCTGTTGAACCGACTCAAATAATTAGCTGTAGCAGAAGAAAGGTAGTGTTACCCGAAGTGTTGCCAAATTTTTGTTGACCGAGTCTACCATCACGCCCCGCCGGGGGGCCCCCCCCGAATGAGAAATATAAGGTTTTGTCTCTAAAAGGAGGTCATCGTTACACGAACACCCCCCCCCCCCAGAGCCATAGACTAATTACTTTACAATCGTATTCGGTGATACTATAAGAGTTCACACCACGTGGTATCTTCTATTAAAAAAACTTGCAAATACGAGCCTGTTGCGAACTACACTTCATGAAATTTACTTACCTTGGTTGAGATGATACACGATTGACTGAAAGTCTTCCCTGATTTGATGATCCACTCTGGTCCGAATTTTCACCCTGGCTGTATGTCAAGCGTTCGTCACTGCATATCTGGCGTCTGTTGTACCCTCAACTCTAGTTTGAACGCCTTATTAAGCGTTTGATGCTTGTCCATCCTGGTGTGTATGTCCAGGCGTAGCACAGCTCAAGGGTCTCTTATGCAAGCGATGAAATTGTACCAGACGCCTCAACGCTCTTATAAGGCCCATCCAGACAACAGACAGTGTCAATGCCAAAGAACTAACCCAAGCATTTACGGTTCGGTCGTCAACCTACGATTGTTGCAATAACAACTAGAGCACCTCGCGCCGAGCACAGACCTTCGCCAGGCAGCTAAATTCTCTCAATGTGAATATTTTTTATTAATTATATTAATTAATTAAGTTAAAAACTGGAAAAATTATTAATTAATTAATTAAATACATAAATTAATTCGGCGATCGGTATTAGTGCGAGCGTGCAGAGTGGGGAGGACTGGTTTGCCCCTTAGCGTCTCGCTCTCTGCTAAGCCTCTCACCCAAGCGCCTACGAAGTTGACACTGAAACCGCTGGCATGGTAACACACAACACACAAACAACACCACTCAATGGCACCGGTCGGCTCAAAACATAACTCCCGCCCACGCCCCTGCAGCACCGCGGTAACACAAAACGCCTAGCACGCGCAAAGAATGTCTACTATCGTTACGCAACTCCGATCCCATATACGTCGGTCCCACACACACACACACAGCACACACACACACCACACACCACACACACCACACCACACACCCACACACCACACACACACACTTACTCTCTTCTCTCTCTCTCTCACACACACACAGACAGACACCGCACCACACACACACACAACACACACACACACACTCACACACGCACACACACACGACAGCAAGCACATACAACACACCACACACACACACACACACACACAACCACACAGAAGGCACACACACCAGACAGACACACACACCACACAAGACAAGACACACACCACAGACAGACACACACACCACCAACACACACACACACACACACACACCGAACCACATCACACACAGCACACACAACACACCACAGCACACAACACACACACACACACACAATTAAACACAATTCACCACACACGCGCGCACGGGCACACCACACACACACACCACACACACACACACACACACACACACAACCACACACACACACACCACACACACACACCGAACACAATTACCACACACACACACCATAACACCACACAGGCCCCGTAGTACTTTATATTGGGGGGGGGGGGTTTCAGTTTTTCCAATGTTGGCAACTTTTGCTCGGCAGGGGGTGTACAGCGATTCTGACCAGGGGGGGGGTCGGTCTAAAAAAACGTTAACCCAACAGTTCGCGAGCACTGCGAAGGGGGGTCTGGGAAATGTTTTCCAAAATTTTTTTTAAATTAGACACCCTCAGATGCGTTTTCTGCGCGAGCAGAACGGCTGGGGGGGTCAGACTCCTGGACCTCCCCTGTACAGCCCCCTGGCTCGGGCTGGGCGCGAATCTAAGCGACCAGGGCGAAGGAGCAGCGACCGCAGCGGGTGCGAGGGTGTGGCGAGGGGGCGTTGTTACACTGTTCACCCTCCCAGATTTCAGTTCACAGCACACACACACACACACACACACACACCACAACATCACACCACACCACTCAGACACGCCGCACGCGCGCACGCAGCACACCGCCACGCACACGCACAATCACACGACCGCGCGCGGCTGCGCGTGCGCACGCACGCACGCACGCCACGCACACAACACAAATATATAATAATATACTATATTATAAAATATATATATATATATACTATAATATTAGTATATATATAGATGTGTGAGTGCGAGGTTAGTAACTTTGTGGTGAGAAAAAAATACGATACTCAAAAATCGATATCGATGTCACTAGACAGGCACTGAGCAGCTCGATCAATCATGGCAGCGCCCTTATATAATTCACATACAATTTCTTTGGGGAATTTGTGAAAAGTGATTTTATATTTGTTGAAAGCCTTTCATTGAAGTATATTTATGAGAGTACAGGCTATAGACTTAGAGTCCAAATTAGTTTACTATTGTACTCATGCATAGTCATCATATTTGAGGTCTTTGACCATGGTGGCGTTTACGTTGACTTTTGTGATGCAAAACTCAGAGTACAGCACCGATTACTCTCAAACTAGGTACTAGGTACTAGTAGTAATAAGTAGGCCTAACCTTATGGATCCATTTCCGAGCAAATAAGAAAGTACCGCTGCAGTCTCTTTGAAGCTGAATACGGTGAAACCCTGTTCGGAATAATTGGGATTGCTGTATGGCCACCACCTTCGCTTGCTGCTAGTGCTGGTTCCCGCTGTGTATATTGCGACGGGAGAAAACCATTATACTCTACACCGTTGCGACGAGAAACTGGCTACAACACGCGTGGTGAAGTGAGGGTCAACAACAGCACAGTGGCTTATATCCCGGCCAGTCGGCTGCACGTCGGTCTGTTCGATTTCCTGAATGCCGCAGTCCACATCCCACATCCATGCACGCACATCCATGTATTCATGGCACAGTCCATCGTATTGCCAACTGGCACATCCTAATATATAATTCCAATAAAGCTGATAGGTCTTGTGCCCCAGGGTAACCTGCCGGGAACGCATACCGCGAACGTACCCTTTCGGTTAATCTATCTGATGATGCCAGACCGTAACCTCGCTTTACTCCCTCGTAACTCGACTTCCGACCTCGTCCACTGTGTCCCCCGACCTACTGATGTTTCAAAAATTTGAATATAACATACAGACCTGTATGATATCTGTTATCAAGTTGGGATTGGAGTATGAAGAACTCGTGCAAACAAGAAAGAAATTTCAACCTTACGTACACACTGGATGCTGCGCAAGTCTTTTGCAATATCCGAGTGATGATCGGGAATGCCGCTTTCCTTCGCAATGTTTACGAACATTTTCGGCCGCATTTCTCGCGCCTGAGGTTTCTGAAAGATGAGCTCCAAGTAGTGCTTGTGTGGTGTTGGACGTGTAGTTGCGACGCTCGGCTCTGAAACTGGCACGCTTCTAAGTGCGCTGCGCGCAGGCGCCTCTTGTTTGTGCGAACCGGGCGCATGCGCAGCGATCGCGCAGTATGTCATCTGTTGCATTTCGCCCATCGAAAACAGGGTCGCCCAATAAACAAACATGGCCGGCCAACCGGGTCATCCATTGGAAACATTTTGATTGAAAAATTTGCATGATGTAGTAAGTTAGTAGAGACTGATGTTACTGCAGTGTCAGCGTTACAAGGCGCGAAACAAAAAGAAACAGAAAAGAGCTGGGCTTATATTTCCTAGCGGCCCTGCCAACAACAAGATTCAAACAAAAGAAAATAAGACGAAGCAAATAAAAGAGGCATGGCCAGCGCCTTAGGACGCGACAGTTCGGCTGCGGCCCGAAGCGTCCAAACTACTACGGATACAGGTGGAACAGGAATTTGTCAATGATCATTTTAATGGTGTGTGGGAAACGATAGTCTCGCTGACACTTGCTAGAAATGCGTTGGGAGGTGAAACGATAACAGGGTAAGGGTTACAAATATTTCTGAGGGAACGCGGACCGGAACAAGGAACGAGGCAGCATAAAGCGGCGCGTTTTCCTGCGACAAGCGGTATTGTATTACGACATCGGCTGAAAGTTCAGGGTACGTGTTTGGAGTAGGCGAGGTACGGTCGGATATTAGATAGTTACCAGGGTACGTTCCGGGCAGTACCCTGGGGGACATAGACCCTATCAGCTCCAATACCTGAATAGCCGAGCTCGTACAGCACCGGCGTTACATCTGAAAGGTATTTGGTTCGAATCCCATCTGTTTAGTTTTTATTTTATTTTATTTTTTATTTTTTTATCTTTATCCATTTAACTATTTTTTTCCAATTAATGCAAATATTTACATGATTTATATACAACAATTTAATTTTTTTTTTTTTTAATTTAATTAAATTTAATTAGGCTTAGGGTTAGTCAGAAACATCTGAACGAGCCAGGGTCAATCAGAGGTCAAACTGCCGGACATTTTAGGAAATCGAAGACTGTTCCCGGCTGCCAGGCATATAGCCCAGCGAACAAACAGCACAGTGCTGTGTAGTCGATAGTTCCGCTGAACCACCTGTGCTTGCCCACAGCTGCCTGCCGCAACATTAATCCACTTCACCTATGCAGCCAAGATAATATTATATAGATTCGATTTCAGATTTTATGTAACACTAACATACCGTACGTCACCTTGCCTAAAAATAGTTTATAGGAATTGTAGTTTTGAGTAGCAAGTAGTGTATTTTTCTTGAGACAGTATAGTAGGAGTAGTTATTGTACTAACATTGCTATATTCCATTGTTTGTTCCATTGTTAAGAAAGAAAGATCAAGATCATTTATTAAATTATTGACATACCCTGTTTTGGATTGCGAATTAGTAGTTGCGAATTGTAGGTACATCATAAATACATGAGAATTCAGTCTCTTTGCTATTATTATTGTTATTTTGGAACTTTGGCTTAGGAAGTATTTCTTGTTCATAGCTTTCCCGGTGGGAAGGTTGACGCGTCAGACACGGATGTCATCCACACGGCCGTCAGGGAAGCAGAGGAAGAGATCGGGTTGGACCCAACATCTAGCGTAGATATGTGGGGTCAGCTGTCTCCTCTTCCAAGTCGTGTGAGTATTGGAAGCAGGTGACTGTAAGCACAGACCAAAACAAGTATACCTCATTACCAGACTGCTATATACTCTTCAGCCGCTCAATATCGTATAAACCTCGCTATACCAGGCCGTAGAAATTAACATTTGAACAAGGGAGTCCAACGGACACCCTGCCCTCAAAAAGAGGGAGTTCGCGGCAAAATGAGGGAGTCCGCAGTCTGAAGTTCAAAATTAAAGATATTAACAATAATGCATGTGCTTATTTTGAAGATTCATGCGGTTGCACGTCTGCGAAATTTTCTTGCGACATTGCTGAACAAATACGGTAATTCCGCGAGGTCGTGCTCCGGAACGAACTAGTTAGTATGGCAGAATTTTCAGGGAGTCACACGGACTCCTGCTTATGTCAAATCAGGGACTGTAGTTCTGAGTCTGACTATCATAGTATGACAGTAAATCAGGGAGTATTTGACTCCGGACTCCCGTTAATTTCGCACCCTCAGTCCCTGCTATACTCGTAAATACCCTTACCTGACCCCCACATACCCCACATCACTAAATCTCCATACCCCCTCACCAGACCTTCCCATGCCTGATCAGCGAATCCCCATATATCCTATCACTGTCCGTATATATTGCCCTATACACTGTTCGTCTCCAGTCCCCCACGTGCCCCCTTACCACTTACCCTAATGTACCCACGACTATGACCTTCATATGCCCTCTCCCCAGACCCCCACGTAGTATACCTCCTAACTGCACACCCTCATTACAGGGCATGAAATTCTGACCCTTGCTTGTCCGAAAAATGGTGTAGTGTGTGGCTGCTGTGGCATCGCATAGTAGCTGTTGAACAGACTATAATGCAGATCGTGAATAATGTCCAAAGTGTATTTGTCAGTGTCATGTTTCACGCTTGCATTCTCGATTTCAAATTTGTAAAATGTTGATAAATTATGGCATGATATCCTTCAGGTAAAACAGTAATGTAGGCTATTTGCTCATTAATGCTATCAAGAGCGTATTAAGAAGGTACCCTTCTTAATACGCTCTTGATGCTATATAAAGGTAAATGTAGGTACTCGCTAACACGGCTGAAACCACTGGATAGGAGGGCCAGTGTTTTGCCAATGTTACTGGCCCTCCAAATAATTTGCCAGCATATGCCGGTGGGCCGGTGCTAAGTTCACGCCCTGCTCATATACTTGTTGTGCCCAAACTTGGAATCTTGCACAAACTTGGAATTTCAGTGCATCCGCAGTTTGTGCAACCAATCTTGAGATTGGGCAAACAGAGGTAAACAGAGCTTGCACAAACATATGATTATTAGTATTTTAAATGTTATATCATAACTATAAGGTCGTATATATCTTCTTTCCTCAATGTGTTTGGCACCTTTGTATAAATATTAAATGATTATAATAAATAATTGGATAAATATGAGATAAATCTCTTCCTAGTTTGCACCATGCACACCACACACTTGCTATGAGCGGTTGTTGAATCACCAACTGTTATCAGTTTGCCCAATCTTGAGATTGGTCAGCCAAACTAGGGAATCCGCAGTTTTGGCAGCACAATCGCTGTACAATCTCGAGATTGTGCAGATTCGAAGTTTTGGTATGACACCCACTAATATGACCTCCATATACTCTCTCACCATGTACCGGGCACCCTCTCAACAGATTCTCATCAACCCTTCTCTTATCAGTCACCGATATAATCCCCATCCCCATATACACCCGAATTAGTATCCCATATTATACATGCTCACCACCAATATTACTCAAACACTAGACAAGTTGCACTGTCTGATACAGAATGTTCATATAAAGTGATTCAACTTTCACTAAATTGAACACTTACTATTGCAGGATGGCAAGATGGCGATTACACCCATTATCTGCAATATAGGGTCAGTAGACATACACTCCTTGGTGCCAAATAAAGATGAGGTAAGACAGATTGGGTCTTTAATATTGCCATAATAACAATTTATATATTATCAGAATGTGTCACAAATTCATGACCAACGACATTGATCATGCCTAAAGAATTGCAATGTGTCTTTTTTCAAGTGGATAACATCCTTTGTAATCATTTTACTTTATTTAGTAATATAGGAAATGTTGGTCGTTAAGGTACCATACTGAGTATTACTGAGTAATTAGTAAATGTAAAGAACACGTGGTGAAATATGTGCCCTATGTTGAATTCGAATTATGTCAGCTCAAGCTCTATCACGAATTTCATTATTTACCTTATTTTCCCACCAGGTGGAGCAAGTCTTCACAGAGAAGCTGGATACGCTCTGTGACTCGGCTAGGTTGGGGTTCACTCAATATCGCAGTGCTGGTGGCTACACCCTTCCCGTCTTTCACGGCATGAATCACAGGATCTGGGGCTTGACTGCTATTATTACTCATCAGTTGCTCGGGATACTTGCACCAACACATTATCGTCACAAACTGAAGTTTATTCTGCCCCTCCTGAAAGTTCGCAGATGATCATGTGATGTGTTTTCGTCTTCTGCGTGTGATGTTAAATTTACGATACGTTTATGCAAGGCACCTCGTGATTTCATTTAAATTCACTCACGTGCTAGTGAAGGAATAATGTATATGGAGCATGCTCTCAGCCTGCAGTTTTTAAATCAAATTTTAATTAAGGCAGGCCTGTCGGTTGTTTGTAAATTTCGTGCTTTATACATTTTTTTAAACGTAGAAAAAACATGCAAACTTTGTGATTATGAAACAACATTGCATTTCAGTGTGGTTCACTGTGCTATATTGTGATGTTGTTGTTGTTGTTGTTATTATTGTTATTATTATTATTATTATTATTATTGTTTGCTGCTGTTGTGCTGTGTTTGGTGTGTTGTCAGTGTAATGGCTGTGAAACAAATGAATTTGACAAATTTCATCTCAGCATGTAAAACGTTATGTAAGTTTTGACATAATAATTATGGTGCAAATCATCCAACGTGCTCTCATTGTTGTTATTCAGCGTTGTTATTCAGCGTTGTTATTCATTGTTGTTATTCAGCGTTGTTATTCAGCGTTGTTATTCAGCGTTGTTATTCAGCGTTGTTATTGCGGCGCTTGCTGTTGTTTGTTTTTGCTGCTGATACCGCTGCTGCTGTTGAAGACAATGATGATGTTGCTGATGACTACGATGATGATGATGTTGTTGTTGCTGCTTCTGCTGCTGATGATGATGATGACGATGATGATGTTGTTGTTGCTGCTGCTGCTGGCTCGCTGCATGACCATGATAATGATGATGATGCATGCATGCAGCTGCTGCCTGTCTGATGATTGATGATGTTGTGTTGTTGCCTGCCTGCTGATAAATGATGATGATTGTTTTGTTGTTGCTGATGATGATGATGATGGGGATGGTGGTGGTAGTAGTGGTGCCAGTCTGGATGGCGCTAGGAGAACGTGCACATAGTAATGAGTTCTCAGCGTGACATCTGCTAGAATATGTAAATAGAGAAAGTGTATTGTGCCGTTGCGTGCGTGCGTTGTATGCATGCGTGCGTGTTGTTGTGTGCTTTCGACTGTGTGGCGTGTGTGTATTATCTGCCTGTGTGTGCGTCGTGGTGCGTTTGGCGTTGAAAGACATCGTCGCGTGCGTGCGTGTGCGTTTGCCGTGCTGTTGCGCTGCGTGTCGGTGGTGTGAGTGCGTGTGTGTGTGCCTGACTACGTGCGTGTGTGTATTGTGCGCGTTTCGTTCGCTCGCGCCGTGCTGATGCTGTGCTGCTGTGCGCTGCGCGCGGTGTGTGATGTGTGTGTTGTGCGCGCGAGCGTGTGTGTGTGTGCTGGCGAGTGTGCTGTCAATCTAGAACTAGGTTGAGCTGGATAGCTGAAACTATATAGCCTCAGAAAAGTTTATATTTTCGTTCATTTTTGTTTGGCTTCAGCTGTTACCACGGGTCGGATGTTGATGTTTTTTATTGCCTAAATTCTGCTGCTCATACTTACGCGCATACGTCGTGCTCGCCTCTCTCTTATGCTGTGAATTTTTTTCTCGCGCGCGTTTTTGCATTGCGCTCGCACGCGAGCTTCTTTGTCGCGTCTTGCCGTTTACCGTCAGCGACGACTGCTAATAGGACTCTTGCTAGTTTCCTGCCTCCTCCCCTCTCCTCCCTCTGCAGCCTTCCTGCCTCCTTCTCCCGCCTCTCCTTCCCTCTGCAGCTTCCTGCCTTTCTCCCCCTCTCCCCCTCTGCAGCTCCCCTTCTCCTCCCTCTCCTCCCTTCTGCCAGCTTATCCCCTCTCCCGCTCTCCTCCCTCTGCCAGGCTTCCCCCTTCTTCCATGTCCTTCCTCTCGCCAGCTTCCCCCTCCTCCCCTTCTCCTCCCTCTGCAACCTCCCCCTCTCCTCCCTCTGCAGCTTCCCTCTTCCTCTTCCTCTCCTCCCTCTGCAGCTTCCCCCTCCTCCCCCTCTCCTCCCTCTGCAGCTTCCCCCTTCCTACCCGTCTCTCCTCCCTCTGCCCAGCTTCCCCTTCTTCCCCCTCTCCTCCTCTGACGCATTCCTCCTCCTCCCCCTTCTCCCTTCCCTCTGCCGCTTCCCCTCCTCCCCTCTCCTCCCTCTGCAGCTTCCCCCTCCTCCCCCTCTCCTCCCTCTGCGCAGCTTTCCCTCCTTCTCTCCCTCCCTCTGCCAGCTTCCCCCCCTCTCCTCTCCTCCCTCTGCCATCTTCCCCCTCCTTCCCCTCTCCTCTTCTGCATGCTTCCCCCTCCTCCCCTTCTCCTCCCTCTGCAGCTTTCCCCTTCCTCTTCCTCTCCTCCCTATGCAGCTTCCCCCTCCTCCCCCTCTCCTCCTCTGCAGCTTTCCCCTCCTCCCATCTCATTCCTCTGCAGCTCCCCTTCCTCTTCCCTCCTCCCTCTGCAGCTTCTTCCCCCCTCCTTCCCCTCTCCTCCCTCTGCAGCTTCCACCTTCCTCTCGGCACTCTCCTCCCTTCGCGTAGCTCTCCCCCTCCTTTTCCTCCTCTTAGCGGTACTTGTCTCGCCAGACGCATTGGACAGTTCTACGAACAACAGCTTCCTCCCTCTAGCGTACTCTCTCACCAGTCGCATTGGACAGTTCACGAACAACGCTTCCTCCCTCTAGGCCTACTGTCTCACAGTCGCCATTGCGACATCACGAACAACGCTTCCTCCCTCTAGCGTACGTCCACAGTCGCATTGGACAGTTCCACGCAACAACGCTTCCTCTCTCTAGCGTATCTGTCTCACAGTCGCATTGCCGACAGTTCCACGAACAACGCTTCCTCCCTCGCAGCGCCTACTGGTCTCACAGTCGCATTGGACAAGTTCACGAACAACGCTTCCTCCTTAGCGTACTGTCTCACCAGTCGCTTAGGGACAGTTCACGAACAACGCTTCCTCCCTCTAGGCGTACTGTCTCACAGTCGGCATTGCGACAGCTTCACGAACAACGCTTCCTCCCTTTAGCGTACTGCTCACAGTCGCATTTGGACAGCTTCACGAACAACGCTTCCTCCCTCCTAGCGTCTGTCTCACAGTCGCATTGGACAGTTCACGAACACGCTTCCTGCCCTCTAGACGTACTGTCTCGCAGTCGCATTGCGACAGTTCAACGAACAACGCTTCCTCCCTCTAGCGTTACTGTTCTCACAGTCGCATTCGACAGCTTCACGACAACAACGCTCCCCCTCTCTCCCTGCGGTAGCTCCCTCCTCCTTTCTCCCTCTTCCAGCGCTGCTTGTCTTACAGTCGCATTAGATACGTTCACGAACAAACGAAGTGGCTTTACTGTTACAGATCGCGATTAACTCTAAATTCAGGCAGTAGGGGGGGGGGCTTAGGGATTGTCTGCCAAAAACTTGTAATAGGTTTTGATTTTAGCACCGTCGACGCCTGAACCGCTACCATTGCCCTCACGCGCCAGCACGCCGCGCACGCACGCGCACAACCGGAACGCGCGACCGGAAACGTGGCATGTAAGTGAGATGTTTTATTTTTTGGGGGGGGTTTTTTTCAGTGTTGCATCGCCTCGTCGTCGTTTCCGGTGTGGCATTGGAGCGGAAGCATTGTCGCTCTCCGTTGCCTGGGGATTCACACAGGAAATAAAGGAGGGAGTGGTGGCTGGGTTGCCCAGTTGCACAGCTCTCGCGAACACGCCACGTAGTGTGAGGCGGGGAGAAGATATTATCTCTGCATTCTCGCTAGCGAAAGTTTGGCGAGAGATCAAGAGACCGACAGATCGATGGAGGGATTAGCACCGCGTTGTGCGTTGTCGTCGGCTTAATACGCAGCGACGCGTTCAACGGACTGGCTTGCCGTTTAGTAAGTGCGCTGCTGTGCGCGCCATGTGAACGCGGTACGCTGCCATTGTGCGTCGCCCGTGCGCCCGTATAGTGTACGTCGCCGTGCGCGCCATTGTGTACGTGCGTGTGCGCGCATGTGTGCGTTAATTGTTGGCGGCTGCGTGCGCGCATGCCTGGTTTGCGTGCTAACTTCGTGCGTGCGTTCGCGCCGCAGTACGTGCGTTGCGCTCGTGCATTTGTTGTGTTGCGGGTGACCACCTCCGTGCGCGCATCGAAGTTGCGTGTAATTTGTGCCGTTGTGTCGCTGCGGCATGTGTACGCTGCGTGCGCTCGTGATTTTGTGTATGCGCTGCGTGCGTGCGCGCATTTGTGCGGGCGTGCGTTTCGTGCGTGCGCGTGCGTGCATTTGCGCGATGCCATCTGCTTGTTGCCGTGCACTTTTGTGGTGGCATGCGTGTCATGTTTGTCGTTTAATCGTAGTATAGCAGAGTAGGTTGGCTGCTAGCACGCGCGCTGTGTAGTGAAGGAGGCTTCGTGTAAGATCGAAGCAAAAGAGACCGCCGAGTCGGAGCAGAGACGGGAGGAGGTAGGGATGAGGGCAATCAAAGGCTATATATCATATATATATATATATATATATATATATATATATATATATGTATATATACGTATATGTATATATAGTATATATATATATATAATATATATAATATATATAGGTGACATTACATCCGCCTTCTTGCGCGTGGGGGGAGGGTCCAGCATGTTTGTTGGGCGTGTGCAGCGATGGCGTTGAGATGGCTCCAGCCACTGATATAGCAGTGAGACACGTCTATTAACGAAATGTGTCATCTCATGTCACTTGACCACTGCATGTATTTCCTCCCAACTTCCCTCAAGCGCACCCACATTACGACGCTTATACAAGACCGTCACTAATTTAGACGCTGCACCGTAACCTTATTGGTTTAAACCAACGTTGACGTCACAATTGCGTATGTGTGTGACCTAGGATGGCTGTGCTGATGCCAGATAGAAAGCACATTAATTGTAATACAACCCACTACTCTTCGTCGCATGTTAATGTGAACATACGACGCACTGCACGCACACACGATGGCATTGCCGCTACGCCCACGCTTCCATATATATATAGACTCGCTGTTACACTCTTATCCCGGAACTTACCCGAAAACTTTTTAACAGGTTCCTGCAAGTGCCCGCCGCTTCTCCATACATTCTTGGATTACGCACATATGACGCTGCATTCAGATGTCAGACACACGTAAGCCATCACGGATGAACTCACAGGACAGCGAGAGCGAGAAGCGTCGGATTGCTAGCCGGCGTCTGCGAACATATCCCGTAGTTATTTCCTATGGCTGTGACGACCTATGGCGCCCTGGATAGGTTTACTGCTGAATCTGAAGCTACGCCGACGCTGAAGCCTGTTAGAGTGTCTCGAAAAAATATTTTTCCTTTTTTTATAACTGCATCTACATAACAACAAAAAACAACAACAACAACAACAAACAACAACAACAACAGCCCACGTCTTGTGCGGCGACCGCCGTTAAGAATGCCCCGCATGCCCGTGGAAAGGAGGCGCCTTGAAAAGTCAGCCAAACTCGATAAGAATTTTAGGTATTTTATGTTAGTAGTACTCATAGACGGCAACGTA